GGGGCAAGCCCAGGACGGGCAGGGGATGCTGAAATGTGCCCCAGCCCCGCGGCCACGGGCAGCTCCGTTCCCCGGTCCGTGGCCGGCCATGCAGGTCTTGCAACTAGTGCCAGCTTTAAATAAAACCTCCCCCGCTGCTCATTAAGCAGCGCTGGAGCCCGGGGCCTCGTCAGCTCCCATCAGCCAAGCTGTCCATCTCCGCCGGCGCCTCGCACCTGCACGGCTCCGCCGCTGCTCGCGGGGAGTTATTTTTAGCACGGCTGCGTCCCGGCATCCTGCAGTCGGGGGGTCTGCCGGGACCATGTCTCAGTTTCCCAGTGGTGGGGCCATGCTGCCCCCCCGGGCCTGGGTTTCGGGGTGGCTGTGCCCCCAGTGTGGGTGCCGGCCCTGCCTGTGCGAGGCCGAGCAGCGCCATTTCGGCTAGGCTGTCGAGTTGCTGTGGCAACGGGAAGGGCCCGGCGCCACGCAGTTATTACGGGCTGGATCAGAAACAGGAGGTGCTGGGGGATGCTGGGCGCCGGTGCTGGGGGGTGCTGGGCGCTGGGGTGGCGGCCAGGGTGCGGCCGGGGCAGCTGGCTGGGGCACTGCCAGCAGCCGGGATGCAGGGAGGGATGCAGGGATGGATGGATGGATGGATGGATGGATGGATGGACGGACGGCCGGACAGGCACCCTGGGTGTTGCCCTCCTCAGCACGGGGCAGGGTGGGTGCCCAGGGCTGCGGTTGGGTGGTGGACGGGTGCCAGGCCCACTGCCCCGGGGGCACCCCGCGTGAGGCGGGGCTGTCAGTGCCCCGCCGTGGGGCAGTGCAGGGAACCACTCGTTAGCTGGCGAGGCTCGCATGGTTACGGCGACATGCGTGAGGAGGGCCCCTGCCTTAGGCTGCCCCCCCGCCCTCGCAAATGTGCTTGGAGATGACAGATTTCATGCTAATACGCATCTATCCTGCCCTAATTACGCTGCGGGAGGTGAGGAGCGAGCGCCCGGCCTTTAGTGCCCCCACGCTGGCAAATGCCCACCCCTGCCTGCCCCTGCCTGCTCCTGCCGACCGCTGCCTGCTGCTGCCGGCTGGGATCGGCGCTGGTGCTGCGCACACGGCCACGACACAGGGACGGGCAGGGGGACCTCACAGGGTGGCATCTCGCACGGCACCCGGCACCCCTGCCCCAGCTGGGGGGTGTCCCAGAGGCGCTGCCTGGGCACCCAAGGTTGGGCATCGGGTAAGTGGCACCCTAAGGTGCTGCAGGGCTGGGTATGGTTGGTGGAGCACCCGGTTGAGCTGTGGGCATGTGCAGCCATGCCGTGCCGCAGCCACCTGGGCTGCAGCAGAGCAGCCGGCATCTCGCCCCGGCAGCGCGCCTTGCACACACAGCACTTTAAATGTTTTATTTGGGGAAAGTGCTGTCGTTAGCAGGGATTAATTATTAAAATCAGAGCCATCTATAAAACATGAGTGGTCACGCGTGGGGCTGCGGGCGCACAGGCAGAGCCGGGCACGGTCCCGCTGCCGGCAGCGCCCGGGGGCACGCTGCGACGGCGTTTGCCGGTGCCACTGCAATGGCACCACGCGCTGGCGGCAGTTTCGGGCTCCTCACCGCAAAGCGGGTGCAAAGGCTGGTGGCAAAGCGGGTGCCACCCAGGTGGGCAGCCTGCCCCCCTTTTACCTCCGCCGTGGCCCGCCGGGCAGACCGGGGCGGGGGGGCTGGATTGGAGATGGGCAAAATTGTGCCGAATCAGCATTTGAGCGGAGCGGTGGTCTCCGGCG